TGGGCTTGGCGATCGCAAGCAAGTCCTGGCCAGGTGGGTTTTGTTCACAAAGGCACCATCTTGGCTGGGCAGGCAGGGGCTCTGGTAAAAGCATGTGGTCGTCTCAGAAACGGCTGGAAGAGGCAGAGGCTGGCTGGCTCCGCCTTTCTGCGGAATGCAGTAGACGCCTGAAAATCTTCAACGGCCAGGCGCGTAGCAAGCTAGGTCAGGTAGAAGCACTTGCGTGGAGGTGCGATGTGTGCTTCACTCAGATATGAAGGCTTACGTGGCAATCGAGGGGCGTTTTGCAAATCGCCCTGACCTTGGTGCCCGCGCCTCAGCGTGGCAGTCGCATCGCAAGACTGTGTGCTTTGTGGCCGCTGAATGACGTAGCATGCTGGAGGCTTTGCTGCAGCGTGTGGAGACAGATGCTGCTGGCAGCGAAAGGCGAATACGCTGGCGACTGTCAGACAATCTCAGGCTGTCTCAAATCATCAAACTCAGCCCTGCATGCAGGCAGGAAGCATCTGAACAGAGAAATACGGAGTCCTTGAGGCCAAGTGCGCCAGAAAAGCACTCAGTTAGGCCTTATGCAAAATCCACCTTGAAGCAGGCGTAGAGCGGAACGTGCCTGCCAAGTCTCTTGGCCAAGCTTAAGATGCCCTGGCTACATGCCATGCGCCTTGCCATGCCTTGCCCACCTAGGTTCTGGGATCGCAGCCGCTCTATTTTCAGGCCACAATTGTTGTGAGCAGAATACTGGCGAAGGCGATGTCTGCGCCTGTTGATGGCTGCCAGGTCATCTCAGATAAAGCAACAGTACGACCTGCTCCGGATGTTCATGCTGCGCTGGGCCCTGAGCCGAAGTTTGTAAACGCCCACTCGGACTACTTTCAGATGAGCTTGCCAGGGCATCTGCGCTTGCAAAAGGCGCAGCGTGTCTCAGGCTTGTTTGAGAAGTCTTTTTGCGATGGTTCCAGGTGAGCGTATCAAAGGCTTCCCCAGCGGTAGCTGGCTCAGGCCAGCCCCAACAAGACCCCGACGCATCAGACATGAGCCTAGCTGGCAGGATTGCACGGAGCGAAGCCAAGGAAGGCAAGGGTGAAGGCAAATGATTTGCAAAAAGTTTTTGTTTTCAACGCAGCGTCGCTTCGCGCTGGCAGGCTGGGTTCAGATTGAATCATCGGGTGTCGATCCCACGCTTTACCTGCAGGCCTAGAATACAAGCGCAATGCACAAGTTGATTGCTCTTGTTCTCTGGCCAGGCAGAGTGGTCCAAGGTGGAGGTCAAGCAGAGCTTCGTTGAGGACCACTGATGACATCCTAATTAGCAGCCTAACTGCCCTCAGCTCTGATCTCAGGCGATCAGTCTAGAGTGGTCTGGGCTCTCCATCGAACAGAAGGAAATGTCCTCAGATCACCCGGGGATAGCCAAGCATGGCATTCGACGTGTGCTCATGAGGTCACCTACGCGGTTGAGTGGCGACCTAGTACAGGTGGCGCAGGCATCCACGCATGTCGTCACAGCTGCCATGCTGCAAGAGCATCGTGATTGCAGGTGGCCATGCAGTCTGTAAATCAAGCCGAGTTCACCTCTCTGGGTTGCTGCCTGAGAGTTTCACTAGCTTCTCGCGTTAAGCTGTGCCTATCTTCAGTATGCCCCACAAGCAAGCCTGAAATCAGCAAATGCCGGTTTGATCTGCAGCAGGCTTCCGGCAGATGGCAAGTATTCCATTCGAGTCCTGGCTTGCGTGGTGAACCCAGATGAGCAGCGTTTCTTTTTTTTTTCACGGTAGATCAATTATAAGTGCGCAGCACAGAAACTCATCAAATCTTGGTGCGAACACGAGGTTTTCCTGTGTGCGCGGAAGGAC